TAATGCAAAGGAAATGCACTATGCAAAGAAAGCTACAGAACTGGCGGGAAAAGCTCCTGCACGCGGGTTCTCTGTTGCAGCAGAACACTCCACCGTGCAAAAGAGCTGCAATTTGGCGGGAACATGATTTAGCGATGCCGAAGCACACTCAAACACAAAAAACCACAACTTTGGGTTGTGACACAGGGTACTGTGGGGCAGGAGTAAGGGGCAGCAGCAGGGCTGGGGGGCTGTGGCTTGAGAGTAACAGACACAGACAGGCAGACTTACACACGCAGACAGACATGCACACAGACACACACAGTGCCTAGTAGGTAAGTCTGTGGAGGGGGAAAGGTGGGGGAAGAGGGGCAGATCGAGGCCCCCACAGTGAGGAAGTGGAGCAGGAGTGAATGGGACCCTGGGGTCAGGGTAGATAGTGAGACAGAGTAGCGCGTAGCTCATCCAGAGGCACTGGGAGAGGTGTGGCTCCCCACCATTGCACGTACCCCGTGGCAGGCGTAGCAGGGCACACGCCCCCTGGATCCGTGTGTGGGGCAGAGGCTGGCGGCCTACTGCAAACTGGGCTCTGTACCACACTGCCGCTGCCCTGGGAGCCTCACGCAATGCCATGTGCCTTCTGTGTCCTAGCTGCACTGCATCCCAGCCCACCCGGTGGTGGCAGGCATATGGCGTTCCACACGGCTCCAGAGGCAGCGATAGCACAGGTGCAGCCCACTGCTCCACAGGGGTTTTCTCCCCCCGGACTGGCTGGCCCTGTCCCTGCAGCAGGGTTGGCACAAAAGTGGCATGGGCCTCTCCAGGGACATAGGGGGGCTCCCCCCACTGTGTGTGTGCCCAGGGCAGGCATGACAGGCATGTGCCTCCCGGATCCGTGTGCGGGGGAAGGCAGGCTCCCTGCTTGGCTCTGCACCACGTGGCGCTGCCCCCGGACCTGCACAGAATGCCATCTGCCTGCTGCCACTGAGTGGGCAGAGGCACTCAGCCAGCGCACAACAGACAGATGTTGCGCCGTGCATGTCCGGACACAGCGACGGCAGCAGCACAGTGCAGAGCCCAGCATCCAGCACGCATCCTGCCTCCATCTGGATCTGGGGGGCATGTTCTCCACATGCCTGCCCTAGAATGGGCGCAGCCCCTTTGCCCCTCCCCCCCACTGCTGCTGATGCCTCTGGACCTGTGCAGGATGCCATCTGCCTGCTGCACACTGGCCAAGTGCCCCTGCCTACCTGGCGGCAGCAGGCAGATGGTGTTCTGTGCAGGTCCAGAGGCAGTGCCATGTGGGGCAGACCCAGTGCTCA